CATGCTTTGAAAGGCACATGTGCCATGGAATGTACTACAAACATCTCGCTTTTGAACAAAGAAAACCACAAACTACCTAAGAATCTGCCCCGCTACCTAAGAATCCGGCCGACCTCACCATGCCTTTTCATGCCTTCTCCACCCGCTGACCCGACGATGCTCCGCAGTGCGCTACCGGGCCTTCGGAAAGTTGATCGCCTTGGCCTTGGCGAACCATTGCAAGTTGTCCTTTCCGCTGCTTGGCAGTTGGAGATGTGGGGGGGGAACCCCTTCACCCAGAACCCCCAAAGTGAACGAAGGTCAACATAGATTCTTTTTGCAGGGAAATCACGAAAGCTAGCCTTAGCTAGCTGAAGTTGCTCTTGCTTTAGCAAGTTAAATGTGATGGGGTGGACGCGCCTCAGAAACCTCAAATAATTGATTACATCAATCTTATGGACCCCCCCCCTCCGAGGTTCAACTCCCCCCTGCGCGCGGTGAGCGGGTAGAAAAACTTTGTTGCTGTTGCTGCTGCTGTAGCTGCTGCTGCCTGGTGTGCTCGTTTGCTCCTGCTGCTGCTGCTGCTGGATTTTGCTCCTGCTGCTGCTGGGTGGTTTGCCTTGGCTGCGTCTCCTGCTGCTGCTGCGGGGTGAGCTGCGGCTGCTGCCGCTGCTGTGGCTGCTACTGGGTTTGCTGCTGCGGCTGCTGCTGCTGCTGTTGTGTTTGCTGCTGACGCTGGGATTGCTGCTGATCCTGCTGGGTGGTTTGCTGCTGCTGCTGCTGCTGCTGAATTTGCTCCTTCTGCTGCTGTGCTGCCGAAAAGGGATCATTGCTGGCCCGAACGACAACAGATCGATCGGCCACAGGGTCAAAGAATTGAGACCACAGTGGGAGAGCTTCAATATTGACCTAGATCATACCCTGTGCCCCTCCTTAGGAAGAGTATATTTTCTGCCAAGTTTTCTGCCAATACAAGCCTCCACAAGGAACATTTCGGAGATCGGTGTGAGTCTCCTGACAATGGGCGCCTTGAGCGCCTGGAAAGTCCTTCAGTCCTTGTCGGGGACTTATTACGTTTCGTTTCGGGGGAAAGCATTGTGCGTTGCTCTAATAGCTATATGGACTGCGCTCAAAAAGCCCTACTCAAAAAATATAGATAAACGTAAACTTTTAAGGTTGGAGATGTGTTTTTAAGTCTTCGTTTAGAAGCGGGCCCCCAGCAGACTATGGTGATACAGCAAGGCAGCGCTAGATTGGCGCTAGGTTGGCGCTAGATTTCTTCATAACAGGATGAGCAAGCAGGAAAAAGAAACAAGCAGAGAGCAGCAAAAAGAAGAAGCAAGACAAGACAAATAAAAACAAAGCAGAAGAAGAAGAATGCACAACCAAGAAGAAGAAGAAGACAAGCAAGCAGGAAAAGTAAGAATCTGACAGGATCAAGAAATCGACGGAGATTTTCGCGCTAGGCTGGCGCTAGCACCGCGCTAGACGACGGTCCATTTCTTGACCATTTGCCCATCCAACATCCAAATCTTTTGAGTCAGCTTTTACATCCTTCCTATGTCGTCCTGAATTCTGAGAACAAAAATGGGCAAGACCAGCAGCACTAGCAGCAACAACAGCTCCAGCATGCTCCAGCAGCTCAACAGGCCCCTGAAAAGGTCCGCGCTAGACACCTCTCACAGTTTTTGCAGTTGACATGCCTTCATGCTTAACATCCCTGTAGTTTGAGTGTGGTTGGAGCTTAAAGGAGATTTAGAAGCGGGCCCCCATGGAATTGCGATGAGTGCACCATTTTGGGAAAAGACATTTTGGAAACCAACCATATGCGTCACACCTTGCGGCAAACACTGAAACGAATAGACATGACTTTGACAAAGGCGTGAACCTCTTTGCCGCTACTGCAGTATGAGGCCGTGTGAGTTTACATGACGGGGGCAATACGCATGAAAGCAGTGCGCTCCTCTCCAAATGCTGGCTTTAACAGCAGACCTGTTGCAAGTCCTTGTAAACGGAGCTTCACGCAAATGTACTGGACCAACGAACGCATCGACCCTGCGGCCGCTATGGGCCTCGCGCGAGCGGTGCTCGCGCGCCTCCGAGACCAGGCGCCCGCAGTCTGCAGGATGTCCTTCACGTTTCACGTCTGCCCATGGGGCCGGTTCAAATTCCTTGGTTGTGTTTCGTATGCACCTACAGTGACTTGCATCCCCGACGACCTTCAGACACGACTCCAGTGATGGAGTCTTCGGATACCCCCACGCTCGCTGTTCAGGACGTGCGGGACTGACCGGACAGCACTTGGGAGATGTGTCTCTCACACAGCCACCGACCCTGGACACCTCATGGCCCCATGCCTCCCCAAGCCCTGTCTTATCCCCACTTTAGGTGGTTAAATTACACGGGCACGGCTAAGGGAGTCAGACTTGTGCGTTCAACGAGACAACACACGATCTACATAACAACTTCTTGGATTTAATCTCTCTCATGTCGGGTGCAGATTCTTGCCTCTGCCTTCTATCACTTTGTCTCCAGGGACAGCCAAGCCGAGCGCTTCTCGCAAGATCATTGCCGAAGAGAAGGCTGCTGGAGCCTCTTCCACCAGGTAAACATCAAGGGGGCACGCAGGGTTTGGAACCAAACACGGCCGTGGAACCTGGGCCTCTTCCGCCGGAGAAAAGACCACTGAGGCATGCTTTGGACGGCCGGGTAGGAGCAAGACTCTGCGCCCGAAAGAAGAGACCTGTAATCCAGGCCAAGGCCAACCGGCTGCTCCACCTGAATAGTCGTTGCATCCCAACCCCACCAACCCCACCGCCACCGCCGCCACTGGGTTGACGCGTCCTCTGCGCAGTGCCTTCCCCCGACCTGCAGCACCCCCAGAACTTTGGCTCGGATACCCAGTGATCCAGCTTCTTGTTTTCTTATTTTTGGGCCCGTGCACGTGCAGACCATCTGCACTTTTCCGCTTCCCGCAGGTCTTTCTTTGTTCCATTACCCTCCACTGACCTTCTCTCTCCTCCGCCTCGACCCTCCATGTCCACCGCCCCGCAGCCCTCTCGGCTCCGTTTCACATCTCATTCCATGTGCACCTCACCTGCCACGATCCTCTACACCCAATATAACTCTGACCCACCCTCACCATGCCAGGCGTCCACGGTACGCCATGGCTCGCGCGATTGCCGGCTCCTATCTCCTGGAACGACTGGCAGCGCCTCGCCGCGACTCGCAGACCGGCGGCAGCGCCCTATGTGGCCCCCGTGCACACCACCTTCGCAGTGCTCATGCGTCAGCGCTTTGGACCGCGCTGGCGGTCTCAGGTCGAGCACCTGGATTCGACCGCCTTCCGCCACCTGCTCGTTAGCCTCAAAGATCCACCTGGCGCAGACCACTCACCCTCATGGAACGATTGGCAACAGCTGCTGAGCGCCTTTGGCCCCCACTTACTACACTCCACGGCCAAGGCACACACTACTTTCCACACTCACATGACCCAACACTTTGGCCCTCTTTGGCCAGACAACACTTCCCTTCTGACCACCACACAGTGGCAAGACCTCCAAGCACACATTAGCTTCGAAGATCCACTGGCGCAGACCACTCACCCTCTACCATCGAAGCCACTCTGGCCAGAGCTTTGACATCTCCTATTCCATGGAACGATTGGCAACAGCTCCTGAGCGCCTTTGGCCCCCACTTACTACACTCCACGGCCAAGCCTCACACTACTTTCCACACTCACAGGACCCAACACTTTGGCTCTGTTTGGCAAAGGGCAGACAACGCTTCCCTTCTGACCCCACACAGTGGCAAGACCTCCAAGCACACTGCAAGAGCTTCGACCTGCGCACGACAGAGGTACCTCAGCGGGTTTGATTTGATCGCCAACAACTACAGACCTAAGACCTTGTTCAGGGGGACAGCGCTGCTGATTGTTTTATAAACATATCATATATCTTTTTCGATTTCTCTACAACATGTCATGTCCTCAGCTTCTTTAGAGACGTTAGCCTGAATGAGGTTGCGCTATACTACCCACTCCCTCAACTATGTTTTCCTCTTGACCTCTCTCCTCTCCCCCTTCACACATACCCTTTTTTCCACATTGCGGCCAACGCATCCGTCCGCCGCGGGCGAAAAAAAAGCATGCTGCGCAGCGCCAGCCGCGCCGACTTCTCTCGCTCACCCGGCCCAGCTAGCTTTCGTTCACCCCCTCTGGCCTCAAGTTAAGAGGGTCAGTTTGGGAGTTGGAGAAGGGTTTTCCGGGAAGGGGGTGGAAGGGTGCAGGGTGCGATGGGTGAAGTGGTGAAAGCTTGGAGGTGGGGAGGGTTGGATGGGGCAAGGTGGGAGGATGCTGAGGGTGGTGAGCATTGGTAGCTTGGAGTAGGTAATACAGTATCAGCCAGACAGCCAGGCAGGCAGACAGACAGAGAGTGACAGAGAGAGAGAGAGAGGCAGAGAGAAAGAGACGGAGACCAATGCCACAACATCAGGCGCGAATGCTGAGCTTCCTCAACAGCATGGAGGGCATCGCGTTTCTCATGTGTGAATTCTGCAAACTGGTGCGGTTGCTGATCTCGGAAGGGGCCATGTACCGACGCGGGTTCGAATGGTCCAAGGATGCAGATGAGCCGTTCTGACCGAGTATGCTCAGCTGCTCAGTCGTTCATGGATGCGCCAAAACCGAGATGTCGAGGACCTGATGTATGCGATGTTGCGCAACATCCCCTTTGAGGCCGTTGAGGAGTTGGTCAAGCTCATGAGGCGCAATGGGAGCTGGACGGGGTACTCCCGGAACAGGTCAAGACCTCCCTTGTCATCCTCTTACCGAAGAAGCCCTCGATTGAACGACCGATAGCTCTCACTTCGGTCTTGTATAGAGTCTGGTTCAAGTTGCGGTGGGAGGCAATTCGGGCTTGGCAACTCAAGGTGAAGGAGCAGGTTCCGTGGGAGAGGTCGGTTCCAGGAACCCACGTGATCCAAGTGGCGTTGATGCGGTTACTTCGGGCTGAAGTGGGCAGGGCATCGGGCAAGCACGCGAAGCTCTTCAGCAAGATGATGCAGTTGCAGATCCCTCACACCAATCAAAGTCCGGCTATGGAAGTGCTCCATCCACAGTGCCGTGACCTATGGGAATGAGGCCCAAGGATTAGCCCCTCAACGTCTAAAGCAGTTGAGGCTCCAGTTGGACCTTCAAACCGGTGGCTCTTTGGATACCTTCTATGATCAGCACCCGGATCTGGTGGACTGGTGGGAGACAGCGATTGAGAGGCAATGCATGGCATTGGCGTGGGGGGTGATGCATGAACTGGAGCACTCATGAAAAGCCACTTGGAGGAGGTTGTCCAAGGCAGTTCATCACTAAGGCCTGGCTGTATTGGACCCAGCCTTTGCTGGCAGGGCCAGCTGCTGGTGATAGGTAGCCAGATGGATGCGAATCAGCAATCAACTCAGAGCGGGCACCTTGCTTCAAGGCCTGCCAGGCCGCCTTCTACCCACTGGCTTGCCAGCAGGATTGGCGTCATCGGTTCAGTGGTTGGTGGCCAAGGCACCTCGCTCTTGAAGTGCGTCCTCAAACGTCCTTGGGTACAGCAATGCCTGGTCTGGTCCGGATGGGTTTGGAATCAATCTTCGGGTGAAGAAGTTTCCCAAAACGTCTGTTCCCTTTCTGCCTTTACAAGGCATGACTGGCGTGCAAAGTCCATCACCTATCAAAAGCTTAACAAGCATGGTGTAGCCCTCAACCGCCGCTCTGCTGACTTATATCATAGATCGTCGATCCGGACATCAATGTTGGCATCCGCGACCGGTTGGTGCCATTTGTGGTGCAGCGGGACACCCAGCAAGTATGCCCTTGGAGAATGATTGGCTTCCCAGCCACTTGCTCTCCTTGCAAAATCCTCCGGCCACTGTAAACCTCACGGGCGAGATTGAGGATGCCTGGTGGAAACTCAGCTTCATGCCGCCTTTCACAAATCAGTATCATAGAAATTGGCACAGTTGCCATTAGCCCTAAGGCATGTTGTTGCGCAGCTGCTCCTGCCAATGCTTGCCAATGTCATTGCCGAAAGAGACGACATAGGGCCGGCAAGCTTGGCCATTTTGCTGACAATCTCCAGGTGTGTGGAGCACCTCTTGCTGCAAGCTTCGCATCTAAATCCTCCTTTGTAGTGCTGCCATCGGTGCTGACCCGAGGACGGCTGCCTGTGGACGAGACGGGAGAAGACATCGACCTGCGTGCCTCTCTCTCTTTGTCCTTCTGTTGGCGTTGCTTGGTCGACACCGGCCCCTCAACTCTGCATGAAGTGCTTGTCCTCTAGTGGCGGAATCTGGATGCGCCCTGCCGCATAGATCCGCTGATGCTCAGCATCGGTCTTCTTGCTCACAGCCTTGTTGGCGGCTCTTGAAGTGTAGGCGCCATTGCAGCCAGATATATTTAATATATCATATCTTGCATTGTTCTCCCGGGGTGCCAGTGATGCTGGGCATTCCGTGTGGCATCAATAGCATCACAGACCCAAAACAGCCAAGCCAGCACAAAAAATAAGAGAGAGAGAGAGAGAAAGCAAGGCTGGCATGGTGGAGGTCACAGGCAGCGTGAGTCACGATGTCGGGGATGATTTCCGAGGCAGCCTGGTTCCAATTCATGTTTGCCTACCCAGTTAGTTGATAACCTTTACACTGAAAGCTAACCAGTGAGAACAAGAGTCAACCTTCACTTTGGCAGGGAAACTAAGGTCGAAGGTCAGCTTGGATGCCGGGATGGTCACGCGCCTTGTGTTTATGATCTTGAATTTTACTGTTAGTTGCATCTATTTGCCATTGATCTTAATGCATGACCCAGTGACTTCTATCTTGCTGCTTCCCCAACCCACAGGTCAAGGAAACTCAGCATTTTTCAGCTCACCCTACTGGGGGGACGGCGACCACGCTACTTTTCACGAGTGGGAAAGGTGGATGGTCTGCATATTTTTCCTTGGATCGGGCGCGTAATATCAACAAGTTGGAATCCAAACTGACCTTTCCTGGAACGCGGAATGCATCACTTAAGTGCGATCTCCCAACACGGTGCAAGATCTGAGGCTTCCTCTACTCTTCTTTCAATTCCTCCTGCAACTTGGCGATCCACAAAAGACAGCTTGAGAGACTGGACAGCTGAGGGTTCCGCTTTCAAAAGACGGACCCTCTTCACATCGGACCTCTCAACGTTTGTTTGCAGTGATTTGGACACAAATTGGTCAGTCTGGCTTTGCGGGCTGCCCAGTCCGAGCGTTTCAGACATTTTTTGAGGTGGATTTTGGAGGGACATGCACCGATTCAATCTCGCTGCAGTGGATCGTGCGGTTGTGTGTTATACGATTTGTCTTTGACGTCTCCACCTGAGACTGTGCCCTCTGAAGACTGGCTTTGATCGGGGCCAAGTCAGTGGTTTAGAACGGACGTTGCCAAAAATAACTATATATAGTTTTTGGGAGCGTGAATGCATAATTCCACAATATTCTACATAATAATTTGCATTCAGAAATCAGAAAGTCAGAGGAGAGCCTGAAGCACGGTCGACTGAAGCCTTACATATCCTTGCATCACCTGGAGTGTCCATTGAGAACACACGTCTCCGGTTGGAGAATGGAACATTTTGCAGTGGGAGGCTGTAACAAGAGCTTCAGGCAGTTCCTAGTCTCTGAATCATGCTGTTCCTCTGTGCTGAACCCGTATCTCGATAGACACAAGAAGGCGCAAGACAGGTCAGCAAAAAAATAATGTTCTTATCAGTGTGATGCTTTCACCGACCAGTTTCAAGGTTCCTTAAGACTTAGGACACCCACCCTGCAAGTTTGCGGGTTGACAACCCAACCCTTTAAGCTGACAAGCGCACGTCCTTTTTACAACCCTCGACATGTATACATGGTGCCACAGGCCACACGTTCACCGGCTTCCTCCAGCCCACCACCCGGACCGCGGTTTGGATCGCATACCGCCACGCCCCGCGTCCTGCCCACCGGAGGCAACCGGAACGAGCGGCGCAGTTGGACGACCTCAAGGGCTTCGACAACGCGCTCCATGCGTCCCTGAGGCGCGAGGGAGAAGACACCGATGGTGCTCCACCAGGTTCGTATGTGTTGCTTCGGTCTCTGGTTGCTTCGGTCTCTGGTTCGCTCACGAACAGGCCTGGAAATGGTCGCTGGATGGGCCGAACGGGACTCCGGTCACGGTCACGTCCCCCCCCAAAACCAGCGAACGGGCTCCAGCGAAGCTAGACGACTGGGGGGGGGGACCAATTCGGGGCAGAACCAAGCGCGGATGCCCCCCACGAACATCCAACGGATCGCGGATCGAATGTGTCGGCGCTGCTTGCTCACATCACACCGGGTTGAATAGTTCCCTCGGGCTCCTGGACCTGAGAAAGTGGTGAGCTTCAATTTTGGAGGTCCAAGCACCTGGTGAGGATATGGTTGGAGCCCTAGGGGGCAAAATAAAACTGGCCGTCTGCGATCGTGGAGAGTTGAAAATCCTGTCCCTTTTTCGAACATCTCATCCCTGGTGCAGGAACCGTCGTCAACGGTTTCCATGATTGCTGTTTGATTGACTTCTACTCTTTCACTATTTCTAGACCACATGACCTATTACAAAATAGAACTGGACTCAACATGCAACCATCGGATGGACACGATCACTTCGCCGATATATCTCACCTTCCCCGACCAACCGTCATGTGACCGACCGTCAGATGTGACCAGCGACCCAGCAAGCCACGCGAGCCACCGGACGTTGTGATGATGATGATGATTATGATGATGATAAATTCATATAATGAACAGAGGAGAGATGGATGTGTTATAACACCCAGCCCAGCAGAGCCCTTCTCAACAATTGAATCCTCAAAGGACAACCATCGGCCACCAGTGGTTTTCGGTGCCAACAGGAAATGCTTCAAGATGAAGGCTGCACAATTTATGCAAATCAAGGAGCCACACTGTGATTTATCGGGGTGGGTGGCGGCGGCGGCCTCTAGCGGTCAACTGTATAGAGTTCCAGGTTGCTTCCAAATAAGTTCCAGGGATGGTATAGAGTTCCAGGCTACGTCCAAATAAGTTCCAGGGATGGTATAGAGTTCCATGTTACTTCCAAATAAGCTCCAGGGATGGTATAGAGTTCCATGTTACTTCCAAATAAGTTCCAGGGATGGCATAAAGTTCCATGTTACTTCCATACAAGTTCCAGGGATGGTATAGAGTTCCATGCTACTTCCAAATCAGTTCCAGGGATGGTATAGAGTTCCA